ATTCGCTCCCCCCCATGGGCACAATATACAGATGAACCAATGATTTAGCTCTGGCTCCGCACTTTCGGCAAATGTTCCTTTCATTCACAAAGCAGATTCTCTCTTCTTATCTAGACAGTCACCTGACCTTTCTTCATCGGGTTGCCGTTCTATTGGATAATGATCACTAAACACATTCTGTTCTCTTACCACTAAACATACGTTTGCATCAGGAACTTTCTTTAACCTCATCACAATGTATCTAGCTCTGAATGCCTCATGGTGTTACAAGCATCCTTTACTTTCATTTTTATATCAACATGGGGAGGTGCAGAAATGTACTGGCTAACAGGTTTGGTGGTTATTTATTCCTCTTCCTGAGCTGGCACTTGATTTCATTTTCCTGGTCTCTCAGGGTTGATCCAGTTCTAAATGAACAGCAATATATTTCCTGGAAAATTTAAGTTTAAAGTTGAAAATAGAAAGAGACAATCTTTTATCATTTCATGAGAGGGAGAACACTTGAGTACATCGTGGTTACACCAAGGTGCCTCATTCTCTCCAGGCCATAATAATCTTCTTTCTATGTGCAGAATGGCTAGCCGCCTGCCAAAAGTCTTGCACAAAGCATAACTCAAAAGCTTCAGTGATGTTCCCCAGAGATCTCTATTAAATCTGCATTTGTGAACTAAATGACACAGTGAGGTGAAAGTCTTCCCAATATGGGACGCAGTTTTAAAGCCTTACTCTGGCTGTTGTCAGGGTGATTATAAGGGTAAAGGTAAAGGTAATGGTAAAGGTAGAGTCGGGAGGTGTGAACCAGCGTCATTGCACACGGTTATAAACAATAAGTGCTTTGCCACCAGTACGAGCAGCTGATAAGAAACTGTCCGCCTGTGTCGCTCTCCGCACATAACTCCGTAACCTCAGCGAGGTTCCTCCATTTACCCCAGAGTGTCAACTCTGGTACCAATTTCCTAGAGGCTGGGTGAACCCCGGGAACCGCCCGGTTTCGAACACCGACCGTGGGCTGCAGCGAGTCGCAGCTGGATTTGAAAGCAAGCCTTTTATCGACTGCGCTAACGCGGCCCCCCGATTATAAGGGTGAAACAAGCAAGGATGATTCTGGGTTAGGCACTTGGACAAGTCAAATGGCTGAGCGAATGTGGGTGAACCTGAACCCAAGCAGCCTTCAGAGGCAACGACTAATCTGGCCACATTGTTAAAATGGACACAAGGCTGATGACTGCTAGCTGTGTCAGATGAATCTTTCAAAAGAACCTAAGCTTGTCAGTGATTGTCTGTGAAGTGTCCGAGAATGCAGGACAGTGTCGGAGAATGCAGGACAGTGTCCGAGAATGCAGGACAGTGTCCGAGAATGCAGGACAGTGTCCGAGAATGCAGGACACTCTGTCATGTAAGTAACGATTAGTGCTGTGTGATATTTGAGCTGACTGCTCTCAACATCATTACCTGGACTGGACAACAAATAGTGACAGGCAACAGACAAAGCAGCCTGGAACATCCATTAAACATTCTATGGTTGTTTAAGTCTTGGATTCCAGCCCTTTTATTGTTGAGTTCAGAGTGTTATTTGCGACTGTTGCTGTGAACCAGGACAACTGTCGTCCCAGCATGTATGCAATCTTACCAACTCAAAGAAGTAGACTGCAGTCTCAGACATGGGACCTGCACCATATATGCAACATGCCTCACAGCTCTTCACCTTTTTATTTGACTCTATCAGGAATTTAAATAATGCGGACACAAATAATACATTGCACAATTTAATGCCAGGCATACTTCGCCGTATCTCGTCAGGTGCATTACTACAGAGTTAAATCAACTCGTTGCAGCCCAGGGCCGGTGTTCAAAACCGGGCAGTTCCCGGAGTTCACCCAGCCTCTAGGAAAAGGGTACCAGAGTTGACACTCTGGGGTAAATGGAGGAACCTCGCTGAGGTTACGGAGTTATGTGCGGAGAGCGACACAGGCGGACAGTTTCTTATCAGCTGCTCGTACTGGTGGCAAAGCACTTATTGTTTATAACCGTGTGCAATGACGCTGGTTCACACCTCCCGACTCTACCTTTACCTTTATAATGAATGCAAAAAAGAATCCTTTGCTTGCTAAAATGCATAAATTACATTGTCGAGTTGCTGTACATCTATCAGGAGTGACAAATGGATTGAGGAAACGGGGACGCCCACAAGAAACCCAAAGGCTAACACTGATGAAAGGCCAATGATGCTGGACTGGATTCCATTCATTATACTGAAAGGACTGAGCAGGGTAGAATGGGGTGGAGGGACAGACTTAAAGCCCTAGAGGGCATATAAATGATACAACAGGCTGGTGAGTGACAGTTGTGAGGAAGTGTAGTTGCCCAGCTAAGGTACAAATCGACAAAACAGCACTTGTGGTATTCCCATAAGTGATCCATTTCCCTCTTCAGCAGCCAGCACAGCATCCCCTGCCCACCCTAGCAAACAGGCACAACCATGGTTACTGTTTACTTCTTTTAATGATAGAATGTTTGCTATGGATTTAGTACTGAAAGATTATTACTGCCAGAGCTACAAAATGTGAGCTCTCCGCTCAACATTAACTTCAGTTGTCTCCAGGCATGCTGACAATACAAATGTTAAAAGCAATGGATGGATGGATGTACGAATGGATGAACGGATGGATAGACAGACTAGTTAGTTTCACAGTTAGTTAGGTAGGTAGTTATGTAAGAAGCTAGGTATACCAAAGAACTGACTAAACTTGGCAAGAAATTCTCACCTTGCCAGGTGTGGGAGAAGGGGAAGGTGTCAGCGTGGAAGTGGTGCTTCCTTTGGACGATGTGCTGCGACCCCTGGATGACCTCTGGGGTGTGATGGAAGAACTGCCACTGGTAGAACTGTTGGGCGACGTTGTGTTCGACATGGTGCGGAATGCTGAAGGCACTGTTGTTGATTTTCTGTAGAAAATATGGATGTACCCGACTGCATTAACTGCTTTCTGTCTGTACTGTCATCACTTTATTATATATAAGGAGTTAAGCTGAGCTGAGTCAAGAACTGACACCACAGCACTCAGGGCATTCCCATGCATGCTTCGTCCTTATCTTCAGCAGCCAGCGCAGTGTTCTAATACTGAAGGTACCGGTCACAATCTGGTTATATGTCTGTCTTGCCTTTCCTCTGAGTATTATATATAAGGGTGATTGAAATGTAAGACCCTATTTTAAAATACTTAGAAATTATTTATTTATTGTTTTTTTGTGTTTTAAATTTGTTTGTGTTTCATCTTTGATGTACTAAAATGTAATCTGTAAATTTAATCTGTTGTATCTGTATTTCAGACTGATTTTACTGTTTTTTATTTTGAATCCTTACAAACAAACATGACTGGATGTCTAACCCTGCAGACGCCAGCCCAGCCAGAAGCACATTATAATGTTTGGTAATCTGCTGTTTGGGTGCAAAGATGGTGCTCAAATAGATTGGTAATTAAAGTAATATATTACCTTGTCAGACAACACAGATCAAACACACACACACACAAATCTGAGACAAAAAATTACAACAACAAAATCACTTACTGACTTACTTAGTCGGTACTCTTCTACCTTGGGGTGTAGAGGTTTGCCACAGAGATTGCCAGACGTCTTTATCAGCTGTTTTCTTTCTGGCTTTGTTCCATCCCAGTCCTCTGTCAGTCAAAGATGTTGTCTTCCCAGAGGACCCTGGGTCGACCCGAAGGTCTGGGTTCCCTTGCCTGCCATGGTCGCCGATTCCCATTCTGCATACATGTCCAAACCATTTTAACTGTGACTGATCCACTCGGATTTGTAAGGCCTGGGTATCAAGATCTTGATGTACTGTCTGATTGCGGACTTTGTCCCTTCTTGTCACTTGGAACACCTTTCTCAAATATCTCATTTCTGAGGCCTAAAGCTGGCTTCTGTGAGCTGTTGTCATTGCCCATGACTCATGCCTGTAAGTCAGGAGTGGCACATAGGTAGAGCGATAGACAGCAATTTTTGTCCTCTTGCCAATTTCTCTTTTGCTAAGAAAACCCCGGTTTATGGCCTGGAATAGTCTCCCAGCAGCTGCTTTTCACGTAGCCAGCTCGGTCCTAATGTCTCCGTTTCGGTCTATTGTAACTCCGAGGTATTTGAACTGGCTGACCTGCTCAAAAGCATACTGCCCCATTATGATCTGGTGTTTCTTCTTCTCTTTTGAGATCAACATGGTTTTAGTTTTGGAGATACTGATGGTCATCCCTCTCTTCTCAAGCTCTTCCTTCCAGACAAGTAAGTTCAACTGAAGGTGTGCCTCTGATTTAGCTACCAGCGCCACATCATCTGCAAATGCCAGCTCTGATATACAGATTGGTCTCATCTTCCAGTACCTTACTGAGTACTTCTTTGCCGTCTCCTTACATGTCTTGATGACATTATCCATCATAAGAATGATGATGTAAGGTCAGAGAATATCACTTTGTCTAGCACCTCTGGTGGTCTTAAATTCTTCTGACTGGTGCTGTTCTTACATAATTTCTGCAGCTTTTGTAGAAACTCAGTATTGCACTGATCAGCATTTTAAAAATAGGGAGTTATGTCTGGGTCATGTATGTTGGTCCGGCTAAGAATTCCTTAAAGTCCGTTCATTTAATTGATCCTTCTGGCGCATGGAGTGAGACTGAGTTATATGGTATATAACCTTAGCTCCATTGAGTTGATACTTTTACCTCTAAACCCTATTCTACATCGTGAAAGTTAAAGTAAAAAAGATCAACTTCACTGCACCAGATAATCCCATATAGCATAAACATTCTCTGCAAAACAGGCCACCTCTAAAAGCGTTGTGGTTTTTTTAAATTTCTAACAATTAGCTGAAATTTTAAAATAGTTTTCTGTTATTTCCTCCCGCAACTTATTTTTTCTTATTTCCAGGTCTCACTGTTACCTCTGTATTTGACTGTTAGTAGTTTCTATGCTAAAGGTGATGACACACAAGGGATGTAACTTACCTTGGCATAAACAACCTCGACGGAGTGCTATGGGGTAAGAAGGGAGAAAATCTTGGTACTGGAATGCTGGCGTTTGGTACAAACAAAGGGCCTCTCGCTAGATCTAGATATCAAATCAGAACAGACCACAAATTATCAGCTGTAAACTGTGGCCAAACAGTTTTAGAATTCCCTGTGGTAAAACTTGTTTATACAGTGATATAAAATACAATTATGTCCATTTAAAATAAAAATGGCTGACTGATTGATTGATTACTGATTTAAGAATCGACTCTATTTACACTAAGCATACCCATAAATCAGTAGAGAAACAAGATTATTATGGCCTGCAGAGAATGAGGCACCTGGGTGTAACCAGAGGGTCTGGCCAGCTCACTACACACAGAGGAAAGGCAAGACAGACAGACATACAACTAAATTATGACCAGTACCATCAACTTTCATAAAGGCTACCAGCCTCCTGATAAAAGTTTTCTGACAGAAGGATCGAAGAAGAAGTACTGGAACTCCACACTGGCTGCTGAAGATGAGGACAGAGTACTCATGGGAATGCCCCAAGTGCTGTGATGTCAATTCTTGACTCAACTCAACTCACCTGAGCATACCCATAAAGGTTGTCTTGGGCAGCAAATGTTTAAAGGTATATTTGCTAACTGTTTCTGTAGTACACTGATTATACCTAAGTCATTCTCTTCCTCTCATCCTTGCTGGATCCACACGCCAGTTCCTTGTTCACACATTCTTACACATGTTGTTTCACATAACCTTGTGTCTTCTACCAGCATTCATTCATAAATGGTCTTCAGAACGTCACCTTTGTCCAGTACTTCTTCTCTGCGTTCGGTTTCGCATGCTCAGATCAGACCATCAGGTGGGTTGCCTCTATGAACTCTCATGACAGTAGCAGGTCCTCCATGATTCCCCATAGCTTGCTTTGCACACTTTGCTCTTGAGGCCAGGTTTGTCCAGTATGAGTGTTCCTGTAACTTATCACTTTTGTAGCCAGAAAATCTGCCTTTCAATCCCTCACACTCCTGCATAACCCAGACAGCATATCCATGTGTGTCTATGTAATGTTGACCTGTCAATGCCTTGTATCCACTCATGCCACATTGTCCATCTAAACCTTCCACACTACTGACAGAGAATCAAACACTGTAATTTATCTGGTAACTATTTTCCGCTATCCACTTCAGGGCTGCAGTGACTGCCTTTACCTCCATCATCATGCTTGAAGTTGTTGATAAAACAGTCCCATTTTGTTCGGCCATGACCTTTCCTTTCCCTTCAACCTAGCTGCAAATTACTGGCAGACATGATGCTTTAGTATCATGTGTAATGCAGGTGAGCTCGGGCAGTCACAGTGCACGCAAACCCACTCACACCAGACTTCAGGTTACCTGCTAAACATTTATCAGTTTTGTAGCAGATGTGAATGGATGAATGATAAGTATATACTCTTTATTGTATATTTCAGTAAGATTTTTATTCCAAATCGGACGGAATCTATCTAATTTATTGAAACAGAATCCTGCAAACACAGTTCACGCATTGGATCTTCACCGCATAATTTAATAACAGTAGATAACAATTCACCGCCACCCCCTTTAGGTATATGGTAATACCCTCTATGCTGCCACTGCCGCAAACATAACAAAATGTGATTGATTAAAAAGAGGGCAATAGATTCCACAACAAGGGAGACAGAAGGAATGAAGACATGTTTTGGTCAGAAAGTGTTCTTAATCTATTATTAAATGTGCGTGTTGTCATATTAATTATATTTTTAATGGTAGATGTACAAATTGCTCATGAAAACACAAATATCTTTCTTGATTTGTGTAATAAAAAGTTAAAAGACAAAATTTTTTTAGAGGATTGTGTTTTCTGTAAGGACTGTGCATTTTGTGACACAAAATGTTTTATGAACTGTCAGATTGACACTCTATCTGTGAATACAGGAGAGATAGTTTTATCTAGAACTAAGCTAGTGAAATCTATCCTCTGATCAGTTTAATGCTAGTAGTTTGATTATAAGAAATTATTTTTTTTTATTATTTAATAATGAAAAGTAAAAAAAAAATTGTACAATGGATTATTACAAGCACAGATTCCCCGTGTGGGTTCCGGGACCCCACTGAAGGGGAAAACAAGATTAGACCCACTGCCTACCCCAAAAGCATGGGGCCTCCTTCAAAGTCAGAGTGCATCTGCCTGAGTGGCAAGGAGCCAACAGTCTGCATACAAATAAATAAAATGGATGTGCACTCAACACTAAGGTTTGCAACAAGACTAAAGTCCAGAGATGGGGGAACAACCAGAACTTTCTGCTGGAGTTTACAGCCAGTAAACATGAAGGAGAAGAGACAGGCACAGATGCATTCACTTTCAAAATTGCTTGGCACTCCTTTGTAACCTCTTAATGTTCTCTGGGTGGAGAGGGAGTAGGTTGGAGACCAGTGCTTTAAAGCAACATGAGGAAGATCATTAACCCTTCCAGTACTGAACAACACACCCAAAGTTAATTTGCTGTTCCAAAGATAAATATAATGTTTCAGCTGTCATCCCTCACACACAGTTGTTTTATTAACCCTTTGTATCTGAATTATTAGTTTAATACTTTTATCTCCGAATATCTTTGTAACTTCCTCAGACCGAAGTATTTATTGCTTTTAAGCATAAGGCTTTGGAATAGAAAGAGTTAAATTAACTATGTTTTGGGACTGAAAGAGTTAAGTGTACTTCTCGGACATGCTGTGTGAGAAATAAACTTTAAAACTTAGTGACAGCTGGCAGACTGTCGGAAATGAGCAAGCGAAAGACAAAGAGATAAATACTTGGATGGGTTCAACACATGACATGGGCGAGAAAAGACCACTGTGTTGAGCTTTGATTTTGGTGTTCTTGTGAGATGGCAAGCTATGACCACTATCCTCCCCCTCCCCCCCCCCCTCTCCCCAACATCCATGAACTGCTAACTGAAGGTTTAACCACCCTAAGAGTACTGAATCTTAATCTGGATGGCAAGCCAACAGGGACAATTTCCCAGATACCTTGTTAAACTTCCAAAGGAGTTAAGTTGGGGCACCTGTAATGGCCATACCAGCTTGGTGTGGCATGCAACCTTCTGGAGGTTACCTCTGGGACGCAGTCTGTAGAATTAACACCTCAAGGGTGAGAATCAAACAGGTACAGATCCAAGGGTGGCAACTCCTAAAAGTGACCACTGCCTTAAAGGGTTGCAACTGAGGACGGCCAGATTTCCTCTCTCTAACTGTCAAAATGAAGGCATTAGGCCAAATCTAAAAAAAACACTGCAAAAGATCAATACCTGCAGTGTTATTGCAGTCATTTGGCCTGGATTTTCCTAGAGCAGCATACTTTCTATGGGCAGCCATCTTTGTCTGAAGAGCAGTGATACTGCTGCTGCCCCCTGATGAGTCTGGGCTGTTGCTGTCGTTGTTGTTGTTGTGTTGGCTGTTGTAGTTGGTGTTGTTGTTGTTAGTCACTGCTTCACTGCTGTTGAGGTTCCCTGTAGACATGCTTGATGCTTTCATCGGTCGCGCCAGGGGTCTTGAGCTCTTTAAACAAAACAGATTTCAGATGTTACTCCCTCTTTGGAGAAAGAGAAAAACACACTCAAATGAATAAATTCACACATCCAAAGGCACAACCAAATAGAGAGAGAGAGTCCATCTGGTTTTTTCGTCCTTACACTGGGAGCCCAGTACCACGAATGACCAAATGTTCCCCCTTCTTCTATGCCCTCTCATGCATTCCATGAGTTTTCACTCGCTCATTCTACATTAATTCTTCGCTATTCAGCATTCTGTTCATCAAGCTGTCCCCACCTACTTTCTTCTGATTCAACACGTGTCACGAACCAACTGTATCCCTACAAATTATATAATATGGTTACACTATTTAGAATATACTTTAAAGTATATTAAACTTAACAACCCATTCTCCAACAGTCATTAACAATTATTCACATAATCTATACAATATTGGTAACATGCAAGAATATCCAACATAACTGTAGAAAAGGCAAGGAGGATTCAGGTTTTTAAACATAAATGCTATAGACACAATGTAATGATGCTATTAATAGGGATAACGTCAGGGGATGACTGACATAATTGGGGAAGCCCCTGAGAGCATGGGTTTCACGCAGATATGGTGAAACGACAGGAAAGAGTGAGTCACGTGTGAATGGTGAGATCTGGGGGATTGAGAATCAGGCGGGCATTCTGTGACTGGGCCCCAGAGAGGAAGGATGTGAGACTGAATCGGTGAAGATGAATAAAGAATGAAGAGCACTTGGATCGTCTGCAGTATGCCTGGAGCATTAATGTGTGAGCAAGTCGAGATTGCCCCGAATGGTGTAAGTGGACATCGTTGTTGATTCGTGTATTGTGCTACCGTGATAATAAACTAATGAAATGTATCAGCTGGTGTCACCCATCGTTAGAAGTAGTGTGACCGATGAGAGCAGTGCAGTCTTGTTAGATTAAGCTGTGACCTAACCTCTAGACACAAGTACAATCATCACAGTGATTCATTACATTGATTCATTACACACAATTTAAAAAATAACTTTTCACAACATAAAACTAACAAACATGTAAGAGACAAAATTAACAAATTTGCAGGACATCGAACAACATCAAGACATGAGCAGGACTTAATTACCATAAACTTGTTCAACAAGCAGAAAACAGAGAAAGATATCCGGTTCTGTGTGCTAGTGTTTCCATCGATGCATCTCCTCGATCCTAACAGGTCAAGGGTTATGTTATGTTACGTATATAGAAAAGATGTGGTTTCTGAGACGAATGTTACGAATACCTTGGACGGCCAGAGTAACTAGCAACGGTTGCTTGAAAGAGGCTAATCAAAGTAAATCTCTATATACAACAATAAGAAGGATACAAACACTGTTCTTTGGCCATATAATGAGAATAGAGACATTGGAGAATATCGTGACAACTGGAAAGATCAGTGGAAAAAGGGGTAGAGGCAGACCAAGAGAGATAATGCTGGATAGGCTGAAACGATGGCATGGAGGGATATCATCAAGAGAGCTGTTGCAGGAAACCAGGGATCGTGATCTGTGGAGATGCATGACAGCAGGGCACATGATGATGATGATGATGATGATATAGAAGAAAACTCTACATATCCCAATTATAACCCAAAAAGGACTGAACAGGAACTCACTGTTTAAATGACTACTACTACTTTATACTACTACTATTACTTACATAAGTTTCATCTCCGTTCTTGTAGGCTCTAAAGTTGGAAGTCAGTCGATGTGAGTGGTCAGAGTTGTCCAGGGCAAAGCTGGGAGATGGTAGAAATGGTGGTATCACAGGCTTCAATGTCTCTCTGGACTCCCTGTTGATATTCTGTGAAATATTTGAAATTAAATCTCATTTCATTTTCCATTTTTATTTGGTTAATTTTGGACATATGTCAATTGTCATGGTGGTCTGTAGAGAACAGTGACGGAGGGTAGTTTCCGGAAAATGAGGTGTAGGCTGACCTTCACAAAGGTGGATACAGGACAGTGAAGATGCACTGGCTATGAAAGCATATAGGACACTAAAGAATTAAATACAGACATTTATAGAAACATTTTAAAGGTGTCTTACATGGATACAAGGATGTTACAAATCTCTCTCTCAATATCTCTCTCTGTGTTTCTCTCTTATTTTGACTCTCTTCTCAAAGTGTTGGGGGGAAAATGGTTTACTATTTAAAGACCTATTTTTCAAATTTGAAAAGTTAATTAACAAATAGTCTGGAATCCACCAGTAAACAGTTATTACGAGAAGAAGTCAATAAGTAAGTCACAAACGGTTATGGGATGACAGGAAAATGTAGTTGGTGGTTTCTAAAGGTTTCATTAGGTGACAACAACATTCAACTTTTTGTCTCCGTTCGTTAGGTGGCACTAGGTGTTGCATGCGCATTCGCAACACAGAAACAAAATGGTGACTGTACTTACAGAATGTACCCTCAAAGAACAATGTGCTGTTGAGCGTTTTTTGGGGGGGCAAAAAGGCTGCATGCAAAGTACACTCATAAGAAAATGCTTCCTGTTTATGCTGACAAATGTTCATCCCATAAAGCGGTGCTCAGCTGGGTTAAAAAAAATGTCTCAAGGACGGTCTAAAATTGTTGGTGAAGTTCTATCTGGTCGTCTTGTTGAGGCTGCAACATACGCATCCGTGCAGCGGGTGGAGGAGATGATTAGAGGTGACAGGCGAGCAACGATTGACTCTGTATCAGCTGCAATTGGGTACTCACATGGTTCAGCATGAAACATAATGCATGATCGATTGAAATTTAAGTTGATGCTGAAGTTGAATGTGAAGTGAAAAAGTGGTTTAGAAAACAGAGCATGCAGTTCTATACAGCAGGTTTGGGAGGACTGATAAAACGATGGGACAAGTGCATCAATGCTGGTGGATATGTGGAAAAATAAAATAGACAGTGTATGTGTAAAAATAAACAGTTTTCAAGTTGTTATTGTTTTTTTTTAATAATTTTTTTTTATTAAACAACCGATTGTGACATACTTATTGACTTACCCTCATATCTGATGGCACAAATTACTATAAGATGTTCTGCATCAATAATCATTTAATTATCATTATTGTTACGTAATCTGCCAATTGGTGCCTCTTCATAACCTTCAATCTCCAAAAGTATTTATTAGCTCATGCGCTGACACCCCTCTCTGCCATGACAGAAGGCTGTCAAGAATCTTCTTGTGTTGTCTTCCTCTCCCCTCAATTTTAACAAATATTTCCAGCTGTCACATGTTTCACCTACTCTCCCACACAATAGCAAACAAAAACAAACAAACCAAAAAAATAATACACACACACAAATTTACTTACAATACAAAACTGCATTTCTTTCACTTCTGCATTCACCTTAAAAAGCAAGTGGCATGCTGGGTTGTGGTTTAAAGCTAGACTTTGATAGCTGCAATTTTCGGCCCAACACATCTCATTTCAGCAAACTGTCGCCTTGCTTGTTAGGAGTAGTGAGTCTACTCTTACCCCCCCCCCCCCCCCCCCCCCCCTCCCCCATCCAATTAAGCAGGGTCCTGGAACTCACACAGGAATAAAACTGTATTTTACATCTAAGAGGAACATTGATATTTAATTCAAACGTTGTTCCTGTCATTTAAAAATTACAAGAAATCGGACTCTGCCTAAATATCCATTATACTCACCAGAGTAAACAAGGATGCAGACTGTTTGGTGTCGAACAAGATGCTGTCATAGCTTGTCAAAGATAAGCCAGTCTGAACTGGCTTGACTAATGCCTTACGCTCCAATCGGGCAGACTAGCGAAGGAGAGTAATATGATGAAATTAAAAATAGAATAATTCATAAATTATTATTTGTAAATTTATAACTGAGCCAACTGCAGAAGAGAACAAACTGATAGAACTAAAAATAGAATAACACATTATAAAAAAAATATTATAACTGATGGTTATGGTTTATAGTTATACAACGGATCAACATCATGGCCACAGGTTAGTTAGTTAGTTAGTTAGTTAGTTAGTTAGTTGGGTTATCCTCATTGCACTCCGGACATGTCCATAGGTGCTCAGATCCTCCCCTCAGTATGAACCCCAACGTCCGATGGCTAATAGTACCAGTTCTATGTTGATTAACAAGTCTTCTAGCGTGTCTGGTGTGCGGCTCGTTTTTTGCTGTGCCGATCTTAATTCCCAAGTCTGCCATTCTGGCGAGTGATGTGGATTCACTGCCACCAAAGTCCTCTATCCTTCCCATTTCTCGGAGGGCATTGATAATATCAGCATGATCCATAGGCTGACCGTCGGTAGTGATAGCGGATCCAGCCAACCTGTCAGCTCTTTCATTTCCATCGACGCCTGCGTATCCCGGAACAAAAATAAAGGTGACTCCACGCACAGTGGACTTCTGTAATGATTCAAGCCATTGTCTTCGCACTGAACCTGCTTGAACCATCCGGATCATACTCATTGAATCACTGAGTATACACACGCGGGTGTATTTTTGTGTTTCAAGCCAGGCAAGCGCTTGCGTCACTGCCATCACCTCCATCGTCATGCTGCTGGTTGTCATGGAGAAGGCGCTGTTGGCTTCTTTGACTGTTCTGCCCGCTGAGCATGCTGTAAATGCCCATGCGCTTCTTCTTTGGCGTATAACGGATCCGTCTGTATAGATTATTGCATCTGCTTCATCTGAATTTTCACCGATGAGAGCGTTGACCTCTGCATTAACAGCGACAGGATTCTCTTCTCTACATCGCCACAGGTATAACCTATAAGTGCTCCGTTCTACTTCTAACTCAAGCCTGAGTCCGAAGAATCTCAGCGCAGTGCACAAATTCTATAGCACCAACAAGGATCCTGAAATACTTTACTGATCTGTCTGACAAAGTAGGACAATATGATGAATATAAAAATAGAAAAACACATTGACAACATTTTTCAAATTAAGGTGACTAGAAAAGGGTAACACAATGAAATGAAAAAGAACACAATAATTTATAAAATCTTTTAACTGAGCTGTGTGTGGTTCTTCTTCTTCTTCTCCTTCTTCTTCGCGTTCACCGGCTGTAAACTCCAGCAGAAAGTTCTGGTTGTCCATCCACTTCTGGACTGCAGTTCTCTTCCAGAACTTGAGTGTTGCGTGTGCATCCATTTGATAGATCTGACTAATTTGTATGCAGACTGTTGGTTCCTTGCCTCTCAGGCAGATGGATTCCGATTTCGAAGGAAGCTCCCAATTAGTCGACTCTTATGACATGCTTTTGGGTAGGCAGTGGGTCTATTCTTATTTTCCCTATAATAGGGCCCCGGAACCTACACAGGGAGGCTGTGAGGCTCTGTAACGGAGAAGTAGGTAAATTGTCACAATTCAATCCTTGACAAACCTGCAAGTGAGTTAAAGTAATCAATTTGAGATCCTTCACATGTCAACTGACGGATGTGAGTAACGGACTTTTATTCAATCTCTGATGAAGAAAAAAATCTGAGCTTTTGAACTGGAATGCTACAAAAGAATTCTTAGAATACCATGGACCAAGAAGGGGAAAAACACTGACTTTACATGATCTGTACATCGAGAACTGGTTCATAAACAGCATCATGTCATAAAATCTGGGGTATTTTGGCCAAGTTAAGCATCACAGTGGCCTGAGGATAATAGTGATGGAGGATGCAGTTTTGGGAAAACAAAGCACAGGCCAATCTCCACAAAGGTGGATACTGGATATTGAAGATACAATGACTATTAAAGCACATAAGGCTGGAGAAGTGGCTAGAGAAAGAGAGACTTTCAGGCACGACATAAAGAGAGTGACGCTCAATAAAGAACCTGCTGAATGATGAACTCTCAACATTTTCCAGAGTTCTCTTGGCTTTCAGACAGTGGAATGAGTGTTGCCTCACCGCATAATATTTTCATAATTACCAGTAAATAGGGGGTTGTCATGGTGTATCGGCTAGACGCTTACGTGCGGATCGGAAGGTCATGGATTCGCTCCCTTGACTCCAAGGTCAACCCAGCCTTGAGTGGGTACCGGGTGCAGTCCAGGGAAGTAAAGGTGGCCGGCGTGATGCTGACCACATCACCTATCTGGTGCCGATTGGTCTATAAAAATATAGGTCTAGCCCTATATGCCCTACGCGTCTAAGAGCGTGGAAAAGTACTTGTTTTTTTTGTTTTGTTTTTTTAAACCAGTAGATACATTGCAACCAACCTTCATTGTGGGGACAGCACATATTTTTGTGCATGGTACAATATAACATGATTAAATTAAAAATAAAATAACATTAATGTTTTCTATACAAGCGGGACTGAAGGGATGAAAAACATAATACAAGCCAAATGTAATTATACATTAATTATCTTTCTCTTTTTCAATAAATATAAAGACACAAATGTTTCAAACAAACAAACAAACCTGCACTTGAGGAGTAACAGCTGTTGGTTTCTGGGTCAAGTCCTGCACCGAGGTCGATGTTTCTAAGGGAACTAGTCTGTTGCTTCCGGTGAACGTCCGGCCCAGTTTGAGATTTCTGAACCGGTTTGACATACGGTTCCACCATCCCTATATAGGCAAGAAAACAACAGAATGCTGGTTCAAGAGTATAGCTAAACTGTTGGCACTGTCATTTTCTGCTGCAGAGAGGTACAGGAATAACAGAAAGGCATAGGAATAACAGAGAGGCATAGGAATACAAGAGTCACAGGAATAACAGAGAGGTGTAGGAATAAAAGCCGATGGCGATGGTAAGTGTGATTTGCAAGACTAACTCACATTTCACTGGCAAGACGTAAACGTGGCTAATAAATCAGTGAAGTGATTTTGTGTATTTCTTTACAAAATTATTTATGCCATGTGTTGATGAAGGCTCTGTGGCCGCAACGTTCACTTTCCGTTGGTGTTTGTCATATTGTGAAGCTTGCTGATCTACTTTTTGTTCGCTTTTACATCTTTCTATGACAGTTCAAATTAAGCAGTCTTCCACAGTTAGAGCATGGGATTTCAGGACAACTGTTGCCATCAGATGTACTTAACATTGTTCTTAACGTATCTACAATATTTTTCTCCTTTCTGCCTATTGCCTTCCTGATTTTCCCCACCCATGCAACACTGACAACAGCATCCTGTTCCAATAAATCAACCTCAATATCTGTATCAATTATATCCCGCTTGCATGCATCTTTATATCACAGTAGAGACGAATCTCAACACCATCTACCCCACCTGTAATTCTATAGCCAAATAAGAGGGGTGTAATGAAACACACAATGTTTAGAAAATATGAGAATAAAGCTGTCTTGTCAAGGGATCAGTCTGTCAATAGAAGACAACATACCAAATAACTTAACTATACTAGTATTGTTGGTTCTGAGACAAGCCGATACATTTGAGTTCTTAGGTCCCCTGACTACAGCAGGTGGAAGACGTATTTGAGAAGTTAAATGTAGAATAGTTCAAGCAAAGACAGCATTTCACAGGATGAGGCATATTCAATGCAACCTATCTTTGTCAAATCAAATGTGAGGGGGAGGGAAGGGAAAGAAGGGAGAAGGGGAAAGTGCCATTCACTACGTTACTGTAAAACCCTCAAGACAAATTCCAAGGGATCAAAAAGCATCAAGAGTTGATGTTTTAACAAAAACTGTGTTTGTGTTAACCGAGTGTTCTTCTTAAAAGAGTCTGTGTTATCAAGGTTTTACTATAATTGGTTTATCATACTATTTCTATGGCTTCAAGGGTTAAACAGCTGTTTATTATATATCCATATGGAAAGACATTCATGGGCAATGAAAGTCATCCTGAATGAAAAACCCCAAAATCATGTGTAATGGAGATTCAGTGGTAGACCTACTGTTTATTTACTGTGCATTTATTGGCTCTCTGTGGTTGTTACCTCCAGCAGTTTCTCCCTGCTATCTGAACAGTCACTGCTCCATACCACTGTTGATACCAACACAAAGCAGCCTTCTGCCCAATCACCTGCAGCTTACTTTGAACACTGATATGTAGGAATTATGACACAGAAAGATGAGTCAAATGAAATGAATTATTTTTACCTTTAAACCACTTTTTGGATTGTCAGCTTCCATACTGAAATAAAATATAATGAAAAATTACCATTTGACATTCAATTAGGTTCAGTTAGCTAGCTGCTAAAATATCCGATTTCTTAAATCTCATTAGGGACTAGCTGATGCTACAGTTGAGCCCATTACAGGAACTCCACCACAGAATCAGGGTGTTGCCATAGGTTTCCAAACACAGGAAAAAATATACATATCACCAACGCTATTACAGGCATAACTCCAGCTGTGCTTATACATGTTCGGCAGTGGAGGACAAGTCAAAATGTGTTTTCAAAACAATTGTAGTCATGTCTTCTTCTGCCTTTCTAGCCCCCAATGGAGCACAGGCCCTCAACCAACTCACGCCAAGTCGTTCTATCCTTTGCTATCGCATGCAGCTTTCCCCATGTCCTCTCCATCTTTCTAACTATATTCTCCAGCTCCCTTCTCCGTGTGTTTTTTTGGCTTTCCTTAATTCCTATGCCCCTGTAGGTTCCAATGCAGACTTTCTAGTTATACCATTCTCCAGTTTTCTCAATGTACGTCCTATCCTTTCTTCACCTCTTGGTCGACTGGAACTTGTTTAGTTCTCTCCCAAAGCTCTACATGAGTGATTCTATCATACCATTTCATTCCCTCTGTTCTGCACAGGCAACAATTAATGAATGTCTGTAATTTATTAGTAACTGTTTTCTATGTTTCCACCCCATACAAAAGTACTGATTTGTAGTCATGTAGAGCACATTATATAAATAAAAACTGGTTTCATTAAATAATGTGCATTCTTCCTATGCAAGGAAACGTGTGGTACACATGGTCATACTACCGCCATTTCTGCTAAAATTCTTTTCATAAAGATGAATTGTTTCATTTAGTACCTAAATTCAAAACAATACTTTCCTGTTGTGAAACAAAAAAAAAGTAAGTTTAAATAAAACGTCGTCTTAAAATGTCTTTCCAAAGATGATCTCTACAATACTGCTCATGCTCTGTGCTATAGAGAAGAGGGACTTCCTTCCTGGCTTCAAGTGCTCCTTACCATAGGCTGTGATCCCTTGCCTTCCCACAGCGTTACATAACGCTACCATCAGGAAAGACAGAAAAGTGCCAACAATAATAATAGATTTAACAAACAAAAAAAAAAAGAATACTTATCGAAAGTTTATAAAAATCTGTTTCAACATTGCTGAACATACATTTTTTCTCTTACAAGTAACACGGGGAGCTGTGTGGTCTCAAGGCATGTTGTCCGCCTCGATTGCTAGAGGTTCCGGGTTAAATCCCTGGTAAGGGTTGGGATTTTTTTTATGTTTTTAGCAATTTCCCCTGGTCTCTGGGTAGTGAGATCGGACACCCTTGTGCAATGTTGTGCACGTAAAAAATCCCATGGCAGTTGGAAATCGAAAAGAGTAGCCTAACAGCGCTGCCCGAGCAAAATTTTGAGTTCAAAATCTAGCAAAGTATTTCAGGATCCTCGCTGGTACTACAGAGCCTGTGCACTCTGCTGATCTTTTTCAGACTCGGACTTTAGTTAGAAGAAGAACGGAGCACTTATGGGTTACTACCCGTGTGCTGTCATGTTGATCCATTGTTCAAACCTCAAACCTTACAAGTAACAATGAACATTTAAGTCAAAAAGTATTTGCTTACCTTATATCTGAGGTAAAGGATGAGCTACTTTCATTAAATTTGGATCGTCCTTTCTTGCTTTTGTCAATCTTGTTCACATGCATGGCTTTGGCCGCAAGCTGTCGCAGCAATTCCGTGTCCACATCATCTGAAGAACAAACATCCAATTGGAAAATATAGTGCAATTCCATTTTCAGAAAACTACTAATCACCATTAGAATCCTAAAAGATGAATGTCTGGACAACTCTGGTATCAACAGTTATAAGAGAAAGGAAATGGCAATATACTGGGCACCTTCAGAGATGAAAGACAAATAATCATAAAACAGCCACTGAATCAGGAAACAACAGACTGAGGAAGTGAGGACATCCAAGACAAACTCTGAGGTCAGAAGTGCCTGACTGGATTTCATTCATGATACTGACAGAATTATACAATATAAATGGAATAGCTGTGTAGATGGAATAGCTGTGTGGATGGGATAGCTGTGTGGATGGGATAGCTGTGTGAATGAGACAGCTGTGTAGATGGGATAGCTGTGCGGATGGGATAGCTGTGTGGATGGGATAGCTGTGTCGATGGGATAGCTGTGCGGATGGGATAGCTGTGTGAATGGGATAGCTGTGTGGATGGGATAGCTGTGTGGATGGGACAGCTGTGTAGATGGGATAGCTGTGCGGATGGGATAGCTGTGTGAATGGGATAGCTGTGTGGATGGGATAGCTGTGTAGATGGGATAGCTGTGTAGATGGGATAGCTGCGTAAATGGGATAGATGTATGAATAGGATAGCTGTGTGAATGACAGCTGTGTGAATGGAACAGCTGTGTGAATGAGATAGTTGTCTGGATGGGATATCTGTATGAATGGGATAGCTGTGTGAATGACAGCTGTGTGAATGGGACAGCTGTGTGAATGAGATAGTTGTGTGAATGAATGAGGTGGACAAGGTGAACTAAGTGAACTGAGCAAAAGTTTAATGAGTAAGCTGAACAGGTGAAGTGAATTATTATGTTCGGTTGAATCAGTGAATAGAGTGAACAAGCTCGAGTTTAATGAGACTATCAGCTGAACGAGTGGGTGGAAGTGAATGAATGAATTAAGTAAATGAGTAAGACGGAATGAATGAGTGAAAGTGAAGGGATGTTATCTTGCAATGGGCTGTGCAGCACTGCATAAAGCAGTACAGTATGTGTGCAGTCTTACCTATAAGTGAAGCCATGTCAAAAGCAGTACAGTATGTGTGCAGTCTTACCTATAAGTGAAGCCATGTCAAAAAGCAGTACAGTATGTGTACAGTCTTACCTATAAGTGAAGCCATGTCAAAAGCAGTACAGTATGTGTGCAGTCTTACCTATAAGTGAAGCCATGTCAAAAGCAGTACAGTATGTGTACAGTCTTACCTATAAGTGAAGCCATGTCAAAAGCAGTACAGTATTTGTGCAGTCTTACCTATAAGTGAAGCCATGTCAAAAGCAGTACAGTATGTGTGCAGTCTTACCTATAAGTGAAGCCATGTCAAAAGCAGTACAGTATGTGTACAGTCTTACCTATAAGTGAAGCCATGTCAAAAGCAGTACACCCATTCTTGGCCTGAACATTAACATCAGCTCCAATAGACAGTAGAAACATTGCAACATTCTTTTTCCTGAGGGAAAAAAAAAGGCATTACTGTTTGACACAAAATATAGAATATATGACCACCTATAGCAAATAACATGCATACAGTATATGGCTTGCATGAGGCCCGACCCGCTCCAGCTGACGGGCCATGCTGCTAACGTCACCGGGTCGGGCTAACGATGCGTTAACGCAGCGGTTCTGAAACCAGAAATAAACTATTTTCGACAGTGGTGAGGAAAGACAAATTTTAACTTCTAAGTAGCTACATGCCTTCTTTAATAATTTCACAATTATTAGCATACTTTTTTTTGGATTATTGCCACGGCACCCCCTGGCATAAGCTCACAGCACTCAAGGGTGCCTCAGCACCCAGTTTGAGAACCGCTGCGTTAACGTACCGTTAGCCCGACCCTGTGACAGTAGCAGCACAGCTCATCAGCTGGAGCCGGTCGCGCATGAGAGCTGACCCACTTACTTTTCTTCTTCTTTTCATATTCTCTCTGCCAGTAGTTTTCATATGAGAAGGCCACAGGCCTCGGGGAAGTCTGTGGTGTGAAGTTATGGATGCCCAATCTTGAATTTCTTGTGAATTCAATTTCACCATGGAAATCTTCTTTTTCTTCTTGGCGATCACCAGCTGTACACTCTGGTGGAAAGTTCTGGTTGCTCGTCCACTACTGAACTGCAGTCCTGCTCCAGAACCTGAGTGTTGCGTGTGCATCAGTTTTACAGATCTCATTCTCTTGAATACAGACTGTTGGTTCCTTGCCTCTCTGGCAGATGCACTCCGACTTCAAAAGAAGCTCCCCAATTAGTCGACTCTTACAACATGCTTTTGGGGAGGCAGTGGGTCTATTCTTGTTTTCCCCACAATGGGGCCCCGGAACCCGCACGGGGGACCATGGAAATGGCATTTACTTATGAGACGTGACTTTACTTAGTGAAGACCACACTTACTCATTAGCCCTGAGTGGGTACCAGATATAATCCTGGAAAGTGAAGGTGGCCGGCATAATGTTGACCACATAACCCCTGTATGCCGATCGAACTATAACATACAGGTAAAGTCCTATATCAGAGCCATACAGCTAAGTTTGCTCAGGGGCCGGACACAGGGAAATGGAGATCGTCGCGAGCCAGAAGACCGAGGCCAGCAGAGAGAGAACATTAGTATAATACAGTTGGCAGGTAATCCGCGGGCTATTTGCTAGGCTTCTTCAGGCCACATTTGGCCAGCGGGCCGCTAGTTGAATACCCCTGCCTTTTATGCTCAATATGCTTGAAGGCGTGGAAAGGGGTCCTTTATTTACACTTACCCATGGTAGGTGGCTTGCATGAGTGCTGTCCATCCACTGATTAAGTCCTGCTTGTTGACATCACAGCCCTTCATCACCAGCAGTTCAGCAATGTCCAGTCGGCCTGTCATTGCAGCAAACATGAGCGGTGTAGCTCCATCTTCAGGAGAAGAAGCATCCTTTTGCGATGGGTCCTGGTCAAGAACCTCTCGTACTCGCTGAATGTCTCCTGAAATTATATTTACATGAGAATGCCATGAAAATGTTTTTTGTTTTTTTTGAAAACACAGAAAATGACCAGTGTTTTACTGGGGCCCATATGGTAAAAGATTATACACACACACATATAAATGTCCTGAAGGCAACCGTCAGTCCCTAGGGACCATGGAGTTGTGCCACTGACAACAGCATTGTGCCACTGACAACAGCACTGTGCCACCAACAACAGCACTGTGCCACTGACAACAGCGATGTGCCACTGACAACAGTAATGTGCCACTGACAACAGCACTGTGCCACTGACAACAGCACTGTGCCACTGACAACAGCACTGTGCCACTGACAACAGCAATGTGCCACTGACAACAGCCCTGTACCACTGACAACAGTACTATGCCAGTGACAACAGCACTGTGCCACTGACAACAGTAATGTGCCACTGACAACAGCACTGTGCCAATGACAACAGCACTGTGCCACTGACAACAGCACTGTGCCAATGACAACAGTATCTGCTATAATTTTAAAGTCTAATGTGGGAGTGGCAGTCTCTGACATATAGTCTACATACAAACACTGATACTCTATTATACCCAGGCTAGTTTTCTCTCAGACATCTCCTCTCTGTAGCATGCTGTGTTTGGTCTCTTGCAAAGTGCAATAGTCCATCTTTCACTGCCTCTATAGGAGTCGGTCTGCAGCTCTCACACTCTCTCGAGTGTTTCTGTCAATGTTGGTATCCTTTAGGTCGCGTTTGCATATGTCCTTTAGCACTGCCTTGGCCTTCTTGCAGATTTACAGATACTGGTCACTGTAAGAAAGAAAAACTAACAGAGGGCAAATATAAATCTATCCTACATAAACGCCAATCACTGGCAGACAACTTGCTACTCCAGTGCTAGGAAAGTTTAGGTAACTTCCCAAACTTTACATTCATTCACACAACCACTCACTCACCTTGTTTGGCTGCTTCAATGATGTCAGGCTTGACATCATCTGCTGCTGAAATTAATCAAGAAAACACCTTCATTCCTGACATTATTGGAAAAGCGTTTTAAATTAAAACATTAACAAGTCATGTCATATATGACAGAGGCACAGAACTGCAGTGGTTAGGGCTTGCTTGCTAAACTGGACTCCCAGGTAATAATCACTCTCTCTCTCTCTCTTGTTGTACCCCACCAGGACATCACACAAACGTAAACACCCTGTGATACAAAGTGCCATCATGCAGATGAGGATCACACGTGGAGAGGTCCCAGAAACCCCTTTCAGCCATTAGGCCATATTTATTGCCCGGCTATATTCAGGGCTTCCTGCAAAAGTCAGGGTAGGGCTTCAAATAACGAAAAATTTCATCCTACATAGGGATGACTAAAAGCTACACCTCACCATGTAATAGACTCTTTAAAGAACATTGCTCTCATCCCGGTCTGCTTGAAAGAAACTCAATCTGCCGCCAGCTTTTCCACCTCATGCACTTTCCTACCCGAGATGTCACTTATATCATATAGCCCATTTTTGTGCTGGTCAGGCCCTACACCTCTTTCCTGATAACATGCCGTGGTGCTTGATATGGTCAAAATATTTCAGTTTCTAAGACAAGATGTTGTTTATTAAGTAATCTTCCCTTCTTTTTCTCTTTCATCCATGGAATTCTGAGAATCTTTCTGTAGAATTTCAGCTCAAAAGCTGCCATTTTCGTCCTTAATGACAAGAGTAGGACAGAGTAGCCAGGTCAATTTAGACTAAAAATAGGATGAAATTAGAACAAAGATGCTATTAATCATTTGCCGTTTTGCTGGAAGGGAGACATTTGGGTTTCTAAACAGTGGGGCTAACTGGTAGGTGACAGCATTTTCCTTCTGTACTCTGGCTTCTATCTCTCTATCAAAAACATTGTCGAAACTGGAAGATGACATTTAGCTTTTAGCAATGACATGGCAGATGGAGGTAGGTGTGTTATGTTACATTATTTCATGTAAACTGTTTCACGTATGTGGTTCAGGTGTGTGTTGTTAGATGCCTCCGTTAGTATAGACTAAGTACATTACGGTTCTGTGGCTTAGAATTTAGTGAAAAGCGTTTCAGAATGCAATCCTCGAAGTTTACCAGGGTGCCATTCCAGCAAAGCATACTTTAGGAAAACTTTGTTTTCTGTGGGTTTTTGAGTTTGACAATTCAGTCATACTGTAAAAGAAGTCCTTGGTGCAAAATGCCAAACAACCAGTGAATTTACCAAATTTTATTTTACAGTTAGGTAGAGCTCTCATCCACGATTATCTCAAGAGGAAAAAATTGTTTATATTGGTGTCAGAAGATTTTTAGATTGCCTTTTTTGCACCAATGTACAGTCACATGATGATGTAAAAACAAAAAAGATTATGTAATATTTTTTTTTGAAATTTGTTCCCTATTCAATTTGGTACAAAAATGGAAAATAGTATGTGTTTATGTTAAACAGTTGTGAAACTATGGCATTTCTGATAGTCTATATTGCTATCAGAATTTAAAAAAAAAAAATTTTAGTTGCCTTTTTTACACCAATGTACAGGCAAATGATGAATTCAAACAATAGTATAAAGCTTTTCTTCACAAAATTCTTCCTCCATTCAATTTGGTGCAAAAATACAAAATATAATGAGTTTATGTCAAATAGATGTGAATCTGTGGCATTTTTAATAGACACTTCTTATTCTTCTTCATGTTCACCAGCTGCAAACTCTGGAGGAAAGTTCTTGTTGTTCGCCCACTTCTGGACTGCAGTCCTGTTCAAGAACCTGAGTGTTTTGTGTGCATCTGTTTTACAGATCTGACTCATTTGTATGCAGACTGCTGGTTCCTTGCCTCTCAGGCAGATGCACTTCAGCTTCAAAGGAAGCTCCCAATTAGCCGGCTGTTACAGATTGCTTTTGGGTGGGCCGTGGGTCTATTTTTGTTTTCCCTATAATATGGCCCCGGAACCCAGACGGGAAACTAGTAGACATTAAAATACGTAGTATCTGGGAAAATGCAAGGGTTAACAGGCTTGGTAGTCAGTGGTTTAGACAAGTGAACATCTCATACACCAACAAATATCGTAATTAAATAACTAATGTTCAAGAAGAAGAATAAGCATTTCCACAATAATAAAAAGACTTACATGTTTTTGGCTTTTTTGTAGTTTTCCTGTCTAAATAGCCTCGCACTTCCCTTTTATCTCGAAGGGTTGCTATCTCCAGGGCTGTTTTATCGCAGACATTTGTCATGTTAGGATCGCCACCCCTCTCAATGATTATTTGTGCCGTGGTCATGTGCCCATTCAGAGCAGCAATCATGAGAGGAGTGAGGCCCGTGGAAGGAGTACAAAAGTTCACATCGCATCCTCTGTCTAATAAAACACGGAGAATAGTGTCATGCCCACGTTGTGCTGCCACCAGTAAAGGCGTGAACTCACATCCGTCCCCTACTCCATTGATGTCGACTCCGGCTTCAATGAGGCACTTCACAGTTTGGAGATGTCCTCCTTTGGCAGCCAGAGTTAGTGCTGAAGCTCCGTAGCGAGTCCTGACATGAAGGTCTGCCTGGTGCTGGACTAAAAGAGCAACAATGTTGACGTGGCCATACCTGCATCAGAAAACATGCACAAATGTATGCAGGTACAAGTAAACGGTTAACATAAATAAGCAACATGTACAACTGTATGTAAGTACAAATAAACAGTTAATAGAAAGATGCAAACAAGTAGAACTGTATGTACATACAAGTAAACAGTTAACAGGAAGTGGCGGAAATGTGGTTTTACAGACGAATGATGAGAATACCCTGGACAGATAAAAAGAGTAATAAAGATGTCTTTAAAAAAACTGACTTATGAAAAAAATTTATTGATCACATCAGAAAGAGACAACCTACATTCTTTGGTCATGTTATGAGAAGGAGAACACTGGAGTACATCGTGACAGTAGGAAAGTTGGAGGGGACGAGCGGCAGAGAGAGAGAACAAGAAAGAAGTTACTAGTCAGTTTGACATCACGGCCCCAAAGATAGTCTGTCAGAACTGACCAAAAGTACACAAGACAAGGTTGTCACCACACACCACAGACTTTAAGGAGAAGACAGAATTAAAAATAACATGGGTGGGATTGATTCACAGAAATTGGGAAGGCAATGGATGGATCTGTGGATGGGTAGGCAGAATTATAGATGGCTGAATGGATCATTGCACGAATGAACGCATGGCTTTTCAGAAAGGAAAAAATTATATTTTCTTTTTAAAGTGTTATGCTATATAGTTAAAATCAAGAGACCTGTTCCATACCTTTAGCGCACAGGGCATACAGTCTTAGACCTATATATCTATAGACCAAACAGCATACAACAGGTGATGTGATTGACATCACACTGGCTGCCTTAGTTTCCTAGGGCATTCTCTCATCATCTTCATTTCTCGTTATACCTAGTGGCACATGAGGCTTCAGAGAGGACTTTCCATGCTTTCCTGTCCTGTGCAATCTTCAGTGAAGTTTTCCATGTCAAAGATGCCGCACTCAGGTAACTTTCCATCGTTCGTCTCCATGTTGTTTTTGGGCACCCCTGTTTTCTCTTTCCCTCTGGTGTCCATGTGAGAGCTGTTTTGGCAGGTATTCTCTAGTACCCAGTTTAAGCTAGGTCAACCTGGGAGCCACGTTCAATTTGTTCTGCTCTACGATTAAAATTAAAGATAATTCTGTACCTGGCTGCTTGCATAAGTGGGGTCCACCCAAAGATGTTTGACTTGTCCAGGCCGGCGCCCCTCATAATTAACAGACGGACCACTTGCTCGTTACCATTTGCTGCTGCCACCTAGTGGAGATTCAAGCCAGGATACATACACTTTTCAGATACAAATTGGCTCACTACACTTAGAGAAGAGGCAAGAATGACATATAACCAGATTGTGGCCGGTGCCATCAGTATTGGAACTCTGTGCTGGCTGCTGAAGATGAGAGCAGAGTACACATGTACAACTCAACTCAGATACAAATCAAAGAGCTAAGATTATACAGCTTATTCTATCATTTAGCATTTTATTTCACAATCTTCAAGGCACAATACGATAGTACAAACAACAAAATATGTAATTTATTATGGTACGTGTCCCTGTGTGAGTTTTGGGGCACATTTGGGGGGTGGGGGGGGGAGACAACAGACACCCCCCCCCCCCCACCCTTCCACGCAAAACATTGTAACAACAAATTCTAATTAGGCGTATTATATCTGCCTGAGAGTTGACGAACCAACAGTCTGCATACAAATAAGCCAGATCTGTCAAATGAATGTGCACAAAAAAATTAAGTTCTGGAACAAGACTAAAGTCCAGAACAAGAACATTCCACTGCAGTTTACAGTGTGTGAACATGAAGAAGAAGAAGACGAAGAAGATAATGTCACAATATAGTACCATCGATGTCACTGTATAGAGGGCTCTCTCACATGCGCTCAGTGCCCTGCTGCAGCAGTCATTCCAAAGTATCTCTGGTGACTGTTCTCATGTGAAGTTGGTTATCTCTCCGATCTTGATCTCAAAGATAGTACAAACATGACAGGCCAGGCTTTACTCCCAGGTCATGCAGGCAGGTTAGCCTCAGAGACTCATCATTACCCACCAGCCTAGTTCGTGCAGAGGAAAACAGTGTGGTGTAGCAAATAGATGCATGGCTGCAGATGTGAAGGTTGGGGTTCCAATCTGAATGGAGCCAGACTTCTTTGAAAATGACCTTGGGTCCCAGGCCAAGCCAGCCTTAAATAGGCACCAGGAAAAGTCCTGGGAAAGTAAGGGGCAGTTGGAATGATGTCCACTACATCACACACAGAGTTGCAACCCAGAGTTGCAACACAAGAGTTGCAACACAGAGTTGCAACACAGAGTTGCAACACAGAGTTGCAATTGGTCTAAAAAAATACAGGCCGAGCACTATATGCCCTGAAAGGAGTGGAAAAGGGTCCTTTACTTTTACTTTAGTCCGTAGAGAGTTGGATCATACCAGCACTGTCTACAGTTTTCCCCACAGATGTGAGTGTATTTCTTGTCAGTTGGTCCGCTCGTTCATTATCTTTTACTCTGGCATGTCCAAATGTGGAGATCCCAGTGTGCAGATTTAAGTAAGGAAGATGAAGTGACTTAAATTCTCTAAAGGTTACCAGGGCAACTATCGTATGTTTATGTGTACAAGGTGCAACCCAAAATTGAGAAGAAATCTCATCACATTCTGTGTATAAGACAACCCTGAATTTTAAACTTTAAAAAGCCCAAAATTTAGAAGAAAATCATCACATTCAGTGTATAAGACAACCCTGAATTTTAAACTTTAAGAAGCCCAAATTTAACCCAAAACTGAGAAATAAATCGTCTATATCTGTGTATAAGATGACCATGAATTTTAAACTTTAAAAAATCTGAAAAACATTTCTTATACATTGAAAAATACAGTACTATAGGTCATTTCTGACCACTACAGAATTTTCAGAAGACCCTCTGCAGTAATTCTATAGGTAATTAATTATTAAACTTTATATACTATACAGCATCTGGAATTATTTAAGAAAATAATGGGTTTCTCCCGGTTTGCACCCATATCTGAAAGGATTAGCCATCCCTGTGTGGGGTCCGGGGCCCCATTGTGGGGAAAACAAGAATAGACCCTCTGCCTATCCCACACACAAGAAAAGCATGTCATAAAAGTCGACCAAATGAGAGCTTCCTTCAAAGTCGGGGGGCATCTGCCTGAGCAACAAGGAACAACCAACTGCACACAGATAAACCAGTAAAACGGATGTACACGCAAAACTCAGACCCTGGCACAAAGCTACAGTCCAAATGGATTAATAACCAGGACTTTCCGCCAGAACTTAGAGCTGGTGAACAAGAAAGAAGAAGAAGAAAGGATTATGTCTGCAGTCTCAATGCCCAAAAGATTTGATGGATATGCGACATTAGAAATTATTGGTGTTTCTTGGACCTTCTATGTTAGGTGTATAGAGGTATTTTCTTAGTCAATTGCTGTCATGTCTCTTTCTGTAGAAGATATACAATGTCCAAGTAAAATATACTAAGCCAGAGAAAGATACACTATGTTTGAGAAATTCCTCAGAAAAAATACTATTTTAAAAAAGATGTACAAGAAAGAAATTATATTTCTGAGAAAGAAACAATATGTCTGTGAAAAAAATACTAAATTCAGAAGATATACCATTTCTGAGAAAAAAAAACACTGACAAAGATATATGTTTGAGAAAGATATACTGTATCTGTGAATGATATATAATGTCTGAGAAAGATACACTGCCTGGAAAAGACAAACTATATCTTGTTAATGATATACAATGTCTGAAAAATACACACTAGATGTGTGAATGATATGGAATATCTGAGAAAGATACACTGTATCTGAGAGTGATATACAATGTTTGAGAAAAATGCACTGTCTGAGCAAGACATAAAATGTCTGGGAAAGTATTACTATGTCTGAGAAAGATATACTGTGTCTGAGAAAGACACACAAAGTCTGAGAATGACATACTGTGTCTGAGAAAGACACACAAAGTCTGAGAATGACATACTGTGTCTGAGAAAGACACACAAAGTCTGAGAATGACATACTATGTCTGAGAAAGATACACTGTGTTTGAAAAAACACAGCATTTCTAAAAGAAGAAAACAAAGATACACTATGTCTAGAGCTGGTTTCCTTCTTTACCTGCAATGGTGTATTTTCCTCATCATCCAACACACAGTCAACCTCACAACCTTGTTCCAGCAGGGCCTGCACACAGTCGGTGGCCCCTTGTTCACAAGCACTGTAAAACTGTCGAATTCTTTCCATTGCTCTCAGCAACCAATCCAAGCATGATGTGTGTAAACTGTGCTTTCCTGACCCTTGTTTCTATCTGTGCATATTTCACTTTGGAATAAAAGTAAAGCTACAGTTTAAAATTGTCATTAAACAGATAAAGCTGCTTTTAAAAACCCTATATTCCATTCTGTCCTATGCAATATTTCAATATTATGAATGAACCAGGTCAGCACCTTCCACCTCTTTAAAAAAATGTCAATGACTTCGCTTGCTGCTGAAGATGGGGATGGAGCGCTAATGGAGGTGTCCAGAGTGCTGCGATGTTGATTCTTAATTCAACAATGTCATCGAAGGGTTTCACTTGGACATCCTCAAAACAACAGAAATGAAATGCCTACGGCAAATCTTAAATGTAATTAGAAGAGATGGGATCAGGAAAGAAGTTGGGACAGAACAATGTTATTGTAGGGTTTCATTTGGACGTCTTCAAAACAACAGAAATGAAATCTCTACGGCAAATCTTAAATGAAATTAGAAGAGATGGGATCAGGAAAGAAGTTGGGACGGAACCAGTATTAAACTACATCAAGAGATACTAGATCAAATGATCTGAACATGAAAATCGCTAAAGGGAGTCTACGCTCGAATGGGAAGAAAGCATTTGGAAGTCGCAGTTAACCTCCATCACCTGGATCTACATACCTGGGCAGGCAGGAGTACATGGTAATAAAGGAGCTGACAGCTGGCAAGTAAAGCCCCAATGCAAATGGGAAAAAGCATTGACAGAGCTGATATTATCAACGCTGTACGGACTAAGTTTGGGGATAATGGCGAATGGCTTGTGCTAACGCAGCCGCTTGAACGAGGAGTTATGCTTGGTGAAGCAGGTCTATGTCGTCTTCGAGGTAAAGACAGGAGATACTAGGCTCTCCTTTAAATCAACCTCCAAAATGGCGGCTTTAATATGATGGCGTTCGAAAGAGAGCTAAATTGGCCAATTTCTTGCCATAAAATATCCAAAAATATCAGAATGCGGGTCAGTTCTATTAAAAATATTTGTGCCGGCTCCGGATAACGAAACAAATGCTGATGGGGACTAAACTAGATGGCCGGGACTCACGAGCGGCAGCTACCGCAGATCCTGCAACTTCCTCCAATTACTGTACTTGTGAGTCCCAGGCACCTAGTTTAGCCCCCATCCGCGCGGTGGATACGTTTAATCGCGTTTGGCGCATGCCGACAAGTCTGACATCTACCGCTGCTAAATCCTCCAATCAGAAGAACACAGTACTGCTAATCGGCTTTCATCGCCTGTAATGTCTTGAAATTGGTCAAAGGTCACTAATATCGTCTGCTAGTATTGTCTGCAGAAACGCTCAAAATTGTTGTCAACGGTCGGTATTTATCGTCTGCTACTACCGTGTGCAAATGTTGATATTGATTGTCAAGTAATAAAAGTTTCGCCGCGATTTGTTCCTTGGCAGAAAGTCCGTATTTTAGATACACGTGAACACCGTCGTTCGGATATTTTTGAATATTTTATGGCCAGAATGTGGCATGCAGCCATTTTGGGGGTTGATTCAAAGGAGAGCCGATACTATAACCACCTCCTCAAGGGAACAATTAGTAGAGGTACCTTGGAGTGGCTGCTGCATTGGAGGACTGAGTGTGCATGAGGATGCCCAATGAGCGAAGTCGTCGATTGTGATAATACTGCACCAATGTCTGCCTAAGAAAAACGCTTCACTCTTTGTGTTCCAAGGAACGCTTTATGTGTTAATTTATAACTAATTTAACTGCCCTCTGGTACCAAAATGTCAGTCAATTATTAATTACTTGTAATCATTTATAATGTTTTTATTTATTTAAGGAGAACGTGAGCAATTATCAGCGCGTATATGCAGTTATGCAGCAACTTGAGTGACAACAGTGGACGGACAGTGTTCATGCAATCTATTTCTATGGCAATCATTATTTCCATATAATGGTGGACGTAATCCTCTTTGGTAATCCGACAACATTTGTAATCATTACTCACTCACAATGACACCTTTCAAACACTACAGCCACCATTTTCACAGGTGCCTATGCCACAGCCGGTGCTAATGTAAATTATCTCCCCATTTTATTTATGAACAAACGAACTTTATTTTCAACGGGTCACAAATTGGGCACGCAGGCCTGTCTTACATTCGGCCCTTCCAGTCAACCCTCTTTCGCACAGCAGTTGTATATGAAAAAAAAGAGACAGTCATCATGTTTTGGTCATGTTATGGAAAGAAGGAAATTGGACCATGTGGTGATAACTGGAAAAATATGTAGGCCCCGAGACATAGGAAGACAACGCGAGTCGACTCTTTACAGCTTTTTGTTATGGCATGGAAGAGTATCAACACACCAACTGACATTGTAATTGAAGATCTCAGACTGTGGAGGGGCATGATCTCCCATGCCAGGCAGCGAGGCACTTGATGGTGATGATGAAGAGTATGAGGGTAAACAGTAGATATTATATTAGCTAAAGCCTGTAGTTGTGTAAGCGGCGTCCGTGGCTTAGACGTTGCGAGTCCGACTCGTAATTCAAACGTACCGCGATCGAAACCCACTGCTGGCTGCGTGGATTTTTATCGTGGTATGGGGAGTCGCAGGTCTACCCAGCCTAAAATTGGTACCAAGATATATGTCTAGGGGAAGTAAAGACAGCCGGCACACATTACCCACCTAGTGCCGATTGGTCTGTAACAATATGGGTGCTTTTCCCATATGCCTGATGCGCCAAACGTGGCTTGAAAAGGGATTTTACTCACTTTACTGTAGTTGTGTAACATTTCTTTTAATAAATATGGTTTGATCCACCTGTGTATTTGTTTCTGTACTAATGCGTCACCGGCCCGCATTTTTTTTTTCCAAATATTTTCCGATCTGCAGTTTAAAAAAGATTTAATAATTGACAATTTGGGCTGCTGACAAGTAGGCTAGCTGAATTTATAACTGCCCCTGTGAGTCCTGGGGCCCTGTCTGAGTGTGTGTGTGTGTGTGTGTGCGCGCGCGCGTTTGTGAATGTGTGTATGTGTTGGATGGGGATCTAGACTCACTGCTCCTTAACATGTAGAAAAAAGCGACAAATTTGCTTAAATCGGATTTGTTGGGCCGAAAAGCGTAAATATCGTAGTCTAGCTGTAAACCTGAAAACAGGGTGCCAACTTACTTTTAATGACGAAGGAAGAAGATTTGATTTGATTTGGTTCAAGAACCGACATCACAGCACTTCTGACATTCCCATAAGCCCCCTGTCCCCATCTTCAGCAGCCAGCGAAGAGTTCCGATACTAATGGTGCCAGTAGCTTTCTGATTAAACGTCCGTCTTGCCTTTCCTCTGAGCCTTGAGCTTCTGCCAGAACCTCTCGTCACCTCCAACTGCATCAATCTCACCAGACTGTGGTGATCCATCTGCTCCTCCGCATTGTACACGCTCTCCCACAAAGCACTAACCACGTCTGCCCTATCATGTAGCAGTATTCCGATAGGTTGTGAAGAGCCAGCTAGTCTATCCGCCTGTTCATTTCCCAACACACCGGCGTGCATCCGTGAAAAAATTCAGACAATACTCCTCACTCGTGTCCTCCGCAGCGAAGCATGCCACTCTGCACGAAGCATACCTGTTCTGATCTTCCTCAGCATGCTTTCTGAATCAGTTACAATTACAATGTTTGTGTGTGTGTGTGTGTGTGTGTGTGTGTGTGTGTGTGTGTGTGTGTCGTGTTCTCTAGCGAGCGGAAAGCTGCAGTGACCGCCTCCACCTCCATTCTTAAGCTGGATGTTGTGGTATCATATGCTAGGCTCTCCTGCACCAAACGTCGACCATTAACTTTTGCTAAAAAGCCCCAAGCACTTCTTTTGCCTCTTGACACCGAACCGTCTGTGTAAATGATCAAATCCTCTGAGCGAGCATTATCTTGAATCAATTGCTGAATTTCCACCTCTGTGGCACCTGCTGGCCAGTCTCTGCATACCCGGCTCAGAGTGATTATGACTCTACACAAGTCTGACTGCTCAGGTGGCACTTTGACCCACTCCTCTCCTCGCCTAATGTTCTCAAGGATGCAAACCTGTCTGATTGTGTCTTCTGCCTGAGCCATCCATGACCTCCCTCTTATCAGCCGCTGACCCTCAACTGCACCCAGAGCTTCATGCAGAGGGTGGTCTGTGTCTGCAGCTACCCTGAGATATGACTTCGCCTGCATCACCTTGTGCCTACCTGCAAACGTCGGCAAACCAAGGATGTATCGCATACACACCACTAGGGTGTCTCTGGTGCAACCCAGAATGACCCGCATAGCCGCGTTCTGTATGCGCTCTAGTTTGTCCATCTGACTCTTTGAGACGGTAAGCAGTCCCAGGCCATAATCCATAACTGACAGGATCAGGTGCTGATATAGTGTGAAAAACATTCTCTGCTCTATGTCAATTGCAGCCATAGTCTTAAGTGCACTAAGTCCTTTTTGGCATCTCGTCACAACTCTCCACATGGTCCGTAAATGACAGGCTCCTGTCAAATGTAATTCCCAGATACTTCAGTTTGCTCTCTCTGTTGACGTCTCTGCCATCTATCGTGAGACTTGGGACATTAGTTTTAACGATTCTGTTGTCCAGAGAACACCACAAAACAGACGCCTTTTCCGGGTGGACGACAGCCTTCATTTCTGTACACCACTAAGTCACTTTGTCTACTGTCGCTTGTAGCTCCCGAGCTGTTTGTTCCCTCTCTTCTCCCTGTCTATATGCAAGTATATCATCCGCAAAAGTCAGTATCCTTCCAACTCCTAGTGCTTCTAGGCTTGCAATCTTGCTCGTATACACGTTGAAGAGCACAGGCGAGATGGCGGATCCCTGTGGCAGTCCTGGGGCCAAAGTGCATGGTTCAGAGGTCCATGAGCCCAGTCGGAGAGCAACCCGACGTGAATACAGGACAGCTGCAACCAAATTCACCAACCATGGATTGACCTCCTTCTCCCTCAGTGCAGTCATTA